CCCCCTCACTGACCTCCTCCCCCTCACTGACCTCCCATCTCTCCACACAGGGGGACCGTGGGGAGCCCGGAGCCCCCGGTCCCGCTGGATTTGCCGGACCCCCGGTGAGTATTTGGTCCTGGTGCCCCCAGTTTGGGTCCCAATACCCCAGTTTGGGTCCCGGTGCCCCACTCTGGGTCCCGGTGCCCCCAGCTTTGACTCCCCCCTCTAAGAGCAGCCCCTTCCCCCAGGGCGCCGACGGGCAACCGGGTGCCAAAGGCGAGCAGGGAGAGCCCGGGCAGAAGGGTGACGCCGGTTCCCCTGGTGCCCAAGGCCCCTCTGGAGCCCCTGGCCCACAGGTGGGTACAGCCAGAGCCCCCCGAAATGGGGGTGACCCCCCCCGGGGGTCCCTTTCCCCCGGAAATTTGGGGAACCCCAAATTGCACCCCCCACCCCCTCCCGTGTCTCTCACTGGTTTTCCTCCTCTTCCCAGGGTCCAACTGGTGTAACTGGTCCCAAAGGAGCCCGGGGTGCTCAAGGACCCCCTGTGAGTATTGGGGGAAGGGGGGGTGCGCAGGGAGGGGGTTGGGAGGGGGGCTGAGCCACCTTCCTCCTCCTTCCCCAGGGAGCCACTGGATTCCCCGGAGCTGCTGGACGCGTCGGACCCCCCGGCCCTAACGTGAGTTGGGAGCAGCCAGGATCCAACTGGGGGGCAACTGGATCTCTGGGGGGCAACTGGGTTCACTGAGGGGCAACTGGGATTGGTGAGGGGCAACTGGGATTGGTCAGGGGCAACTGGGTTCACTCTGGAGGAAACAGGGATCACTTGGCAACAGGGATCACTTGGGAGCAGCTGGGATCACTTGGAGGCAACCAGGATTACATCACTTGGGAGAAGCCAGGATCATTTTGGGGCAACTGGGATCACTGGGGGGCAACTGGGATCACTCAGGGGCAACCAGGATCACTTGGGAGAAGCCAGGATCATTTTGGGACAACTGGGATCACTGGGGGGGCAACTGGGATCACTCAGGGGCAACTGGGATTGCTCAGGGGCTACTGGATTCACTTGGGAGGAAACTGGGATGACTTGGCAACAGGGATCACTTGGGGCAAGTGGGATCACTGGGGGGAAACAGGGATCACTTGGGAGCAGCCAGGATCACTTAGGGGCAACCAGGATCATATTGGGGCAACTGGGATCACTCAGGGGCAACTGGGATCCCTGGGGCTTTCCCAGGGCTCTCCAAGCCCGGGAGCCCCGCAGGACGAGGATAACGAAGGTGGAAAAGCCCCTTCTGTTGGCACTGAACCCCGTCTTGTGCCCCCCAGGGTAACCCAGGCCCCCCCGGGCCCCCCGGCTCCGCTGGCAAGGACGGTCCCAAGGGTGCTCGAGGTGATGCCGGACCCCCGGGCCGTGCCGGGGACCCCGGGCTGCAGGGCCCCGCCGGCCCCCAAGGGGAGAAGGGAGACCCCGGCGAGGACGGTCCCGCGGTACATTTGGGGGGGCACCTCCCTTCCTGCCCGTTCAGGGCCCTGCCATCACCCCCCTCCCGGCTCTGATGCCCCCCCTCTGCCTCCCCCCAGGGTCCTGACGGGCCCCCGGGTCCCCAAGGCTTGGCGGGACAGCGCGGCATCGTCGGCCTGCCCGGGCAGCGTGGGGAGAGGGGCTTTCCTGGCCTGCCGGGGCCATCGGTGAGTGTCACCCCCAGTTGCCACCCTCACTGTCACCCCCACTGTCACCCCCAGGCTCAGCCCCCTTCACCCCCTGTGTCACCCTTAAGTTCAGCCCCTTCCATCCCCCGTGTCACCCCCTGTGTCACCCCCAGGCTCAGCCCCCTCCACGCCCTGTGTCATCCTGTGTCACCCCCTGTGTCACCCCTAATTTCAGCCCATTTCATCCCCTGTGTCACCCCCTGTGTCACCCCTCAGGCTCAACCCCTTCCATCCCCTGTGTCACCCCCTGTGTCA